AAATTATATTTTGTTTAAAATTGACGTTATTATTATATGTGATGTAGAAAATGATTGTGTTTATATCTAGACGTACGTTAACTACATTCGAAGGCTGACAATTTGTGCTGATCCCAGTGTCTTTGGACTTCATAGCAACGCTGACATCACCAAGGACAATCAAGAGACCAATCAGCTGCTGGAAGGAGTACTGCTGACTCTGCCCAGACAGACGGGCGGTGGGGCCAAGTCTCCTCTAGTGTGTTGCATGAAATAACTGACTTTGACTTTAAATGTTTTGGCATATGTTAACAGGATGAGGGAAAGGACATATGTGACCATAAAAGGTCTTACGGTTTAAGGTGTGTGTCAACATGAACAAATAAAAAACTCTAAATGTTTCACTAAAAGGCCCAAGAGAACCTAACATTAACAATTAGAACAACCTATGTCATGAGGGTAGATATCACACATGTTGTTTCTTCAGTAGAACGTGGTGATGGTAACATATAGGGAGATTTTTCCCATGACAGAAGCTGTAAGATTAATTGAAAAAGAGGAGAAATGGCTGCAAATAAACAGAGTTTGGATCTAATCCCAGTAGAGCATCTCTGGGCAGACCTAAAATTATTCTGCACTGAAACTATTGAGCCATCAAACAAAATGATCAATATAATCTGCTGAATAAGTCCATATTTGTGTCAATCTCTAATAAAACACGACTATCCCTTTAGACCAGTGGTGTTCCAACTGTTTGGCACAAAAATAAAAAAGGAAGAGTGGTTAAATAAAGACAAAAGTATTCATATACTTATTATTGCACATTTTAAGAATATTTCATCCTGAAATTTGTGATAAAATTCAGAAATTACAAAAAACATCACCCCTCATAAATATCACCAACTTAAGCCCGGGGGCAAAAATTATACAATTGCGGGCAATTGCAGTGACAGGCCACACAAAATCAAAGAGATGGCCACAAATAACCCCCGGGCTGCACTTTAGACACCCCTGCTTTACATTATATCACACTTTGTGTGTTTTTTATTTTATTTTTAATCTTGTAGGAAATAATGGAGGGACTTGCAGAGGACATTTTATCCAAGCTGCCTGCAGACTTTGACATAGAAACGGTGCTGATGAAGTACCCAGTCCTGTATGAAGAGTCTATGAACACGGTGCTGAGGCAGGAACTCATCCGCTTCAACAGGTAATAACTTCTGTCAATGCACATCCAAATACTGTTATAACGAACATGTCCTTTCTCTTATTACACTTACAGAAGTGGTGCGTGCAAGCATGGTAAACATCTGCAAAGCTTTGAAGGGACAGATCGTTATGTCCTCTGAGCTGGAGAACGTTTTTAACAGCATGCTGGTGGGAAAGGTGCCCGCAATGTGGGCAGCGAAGTCGTACCCTTCACTCAAAGCGCTCGGGAGCTACGTGACTGATCTGTTAAGCAGGCTACAGCTCCTTCAAGTAAGTTTTATGATCACTTTGAGTCATATTGTCTAAGGAGACCTTGAGAATATTTGGAATATGACTTCTGAGTGAATGTCCTAAGAATTCAGTGACTATATGTACAGCTTGCGCAATCTGAAGGTATTGTTCTGAAAACTGTTAAAATCATCTTTAAAATAATAATATTTAATAATTTGTAGGTCTGGACAGGAGTGGATCGACAAAGGCCTACCTTCAGTCTTCTGGCTCTCAGGCTTTTATTTCATCCAGTCGTTTCTTACTGGAGTGTCCCAGAACTTTGCCAGGAAGTACACCATCCCAATTGACTACTGGATTTGAATTTGAGGTGTGTATTTGATCCCAAGTCTTCTTGTCATATTTTTCAAATACGTTAGGGATATTTATATTCATACTCTTGACTGCTTTTCAGGTAACCAAAGAGGAGACCCACATAGAGGAGAAGCCTGAGGACGGGGCATATGTTCGGGGTCTCTTCATGGAAGGGGCGCGTTGGGACAGGCAGACCAGGGTAATCGGAGAGTCTTTACCTAAGATCCTGTTTGACTCTCTGCCCATCTTCAAGCTCAAACCTGGAGAGATGGACACGTTTCAGCACGAGAACATGTATGTTTGTCCTGTTTAGAAAACCCGCGCTCGTCGAGGTACACTGTCCACCACTGGCCACTCTACCAACTACGTCCTGTCCATTGAGCTAAAGTCTGACAAGCCACACAAACACTGGATCAACCGAGGGGTGGCATGCCTCTGCCAGTTAGATGACTAACAGTCAGCCAAAAAAATATACGTCTTTTTGCAAAACTAGAAAAGACTGCTGTTCTTTTTCTATCAAAGCTTCAGCATTTAAATATATTTGACAGGAGACATAATGGATAACCAAACTAAGATAAAAAAAAAACATTGCTGCCACATGTAGTCTTCATAGAAGAAATTATATGAATAAAAGTTGGCATAACTTGAAATGCATGTAAAATGTATTTCCTAAATGTACTTTATATATAGGTGGTTTACACCACACAAATACATATAATATAAGTAACTTGTTTATTTTTATATACTAAACAACTCATTTTGTCTGTGTAAAATTGGGACCAAAGTCACTACAGTGAAGCATTTTTTATGATCATTAACATGTTTTTAATTTTTTTCAGAAAGTGTGGTGGGTTACAATTTAGGCCTTGACAATAAAATATATATTTACAACTTTTAAAAGAGTAATTGCACCCTCCATTAACTGATCCTGTCAACTCATCAGACGCATACATCAAGATGAACACTAGGTGGCAGCAAAAGCAAATCTGGATCAAACGGATCAAAGTCTTTACTTGTGTGCAGCACAGTCTCTGTGCAGTTTTTAAAAACAAAATCTAATGCAGTGGTCACATTACACATGCATAACCGTGTGTTGTAACTTAAAAAGCAAAACAGTATCTGGAAAATGATTGTCCAGTTTAAGGCCTAAAAGCTGAGTGCAGATAAGTTCAGGATAACAAACTGTCTTTCTTCACTGTCCCTAACGGCCTTGCTGCAAATTTACAACCTAATTCAGAAATTAAGCATTCGTACAAAAGCTATTGTCTTTTTTGACCAAACAAAATGAACAATATAGCAATAATCTCCACAAATTACTCGTACTTGTTTTCACGCGAGGTTAAGTTTAACCAAATCTTTATGGAAATGAGATGCTTCACATCAGATGTCTGGTGACTGGCACTACTGGGTTATATATACACTGTATACATGCCAGTGTTTACCGATTGTTCTCTTTATTTAACACTTGTTCAGTCACCGTTTATTTGGCATCTGAGTTCAATGTTAATCCACCGTAAACTACAAGATAATGGACACCTTAAATCTATACGTTATCATCTGCTGCTGACAGCTGTTGTGTTTCTAACAGAGTTCAGTCGGACTGCAGCCTCATGCTGACAGTTTCACTTCTTTATTCAGTCTGTGTTTACAGAGACTCCATCAGTTTTGCAGCAATAGCAACCTTTAGATTGAATATTTTATGAATGTGTGAATATATATATATATATATATATATTTTGCATTAGTGTATTGTCACATTTTTTTAAATAGGAGATTAGGCCAAGATTGATACTGGTTTAACCTATCTGTCCTTGATTTGTTTTTTCTAAAGCTTTGTCACACAAGTTACCTTGAAGATTTATTCTGTGAAGTTTGCCTGCTCCAGAGCAGCTTAACAGTCAGGCTTATAGTTCCACTTGAAGTGTTTTTATAATCCAGTCACTTTGATCAGAAATCACCTATCAATGAGAAATCAATGAGTCATGCAGTTTTCTCTACTTTGTTTTTTTGTCCAACAAACTAGGTCCATCCATCCGTTATCTTTACCCACGTCTTCCTTTTTGGGTCACGGGGGTCACTAGTGCACATATCCATCAGTCACTGTGCGAGAGGCGGGGGACACCCTGGACAGGTCTCCAGTCCATCACAGAGACAAACGAGACAAACAACCATTCACTCTCTCACTCCTAGAGACAATTCAGAGTTACCAATCAGCCTAACATTCATGTTGTTGGTCTGTGGGAAGAAACTGGAGTACCTGGAGAAAACCCACGCAGCACGGAGAGAACATGCAGACTCCACCCAGAAAGGCCCCCCCAGCTGGGATTTGAACCAGGGCGACCACCGCTGTGAGGCGGCAGCTCTACCAACTGAGCCACCGTGCTGCCTAGTCCCACAAGTGGAAATTTAAAATTGTAATTTACCTGTGGTCATTAATAATTTTATAACTGAAGTGACTGTAATGGTCAGTTTATATTGGTGTTGGACATGCACTTAGATTTAACTGTGTTGCTGTGGTAATAGCTGACTCAGCGGCTCCTGCTAGTGAGTCAGTGTGCTCTGATAACCTCCTGGTCTGACTTACCCATCCTGCTTTTAGTCTTAAGCTCTTTTTTTGTCATGTCCCTTGTTTTCTCATCTTTGTATGAGGATTCATATCTGCAACACTTTTGTTTTTGTAAGTTCACCTCGTTCTACCCTCCTCTTTCTCACTGTTTATACATTTGTCTGTGGTAGTGACTGAGCATCATTCCCAACGCATACTCAGCTTTGGCATTAATTGTTAGGGTCAACCCTGTCTGTTAGCAAAATATCCCTTGAACCACTGGACAGGTTTGAAACTTCTCACACCAATCATGGTTGTACAGCGTATGTTGAGGCCTTTTAAGTGAAATCACTGTTCAGATTCCATGATGACTTCATGCTTCCTGCCACTCACCAATGTGTCTGGCAGGAAGCATGAAGTTTGGCCGTGAGAAATGTCACGTTTTATCCAGCTGAGGGTTTTAAGTCCGCAGCGGCGGAGAGGCGCAGAACGCAGGCGCACATCCAGATGTGGCGGCGCAGAGCTGGGAGGTGTGTCGGTCATTTCTGTCGCCCAGCTGTCGCCTCCCCCTTCTGTGTGTCTTTCTATGTGTGTAAAAGTGTGTGTGGGTGAAAGAGAGGGAGAGCGAGGGAAGTTTCCTGTGCTCTCTTGTTGGCGGCGGAGGTCGTTCTTCCACGATGGCGCGCCCGCCGCCGCTCCGTGCGCCCCGTCGCCTTTCATGAGAGTCCGCCAGCGCCTCCTCCTCCATGGCTGAGTCTGGGGCCAGGAAGAAGAGCGACGCGGGCCCACCGGTTGCTGGCTGGAAGGCTGCGTGCGGGGGAGCGAGCAGCGCGGAGGCGCACCGGGGAGGAGAGCCCGTGTCCAACGGGAACTGCAGCGCGCCGGACGTCAGGAGGCTCCAGATCCAGAACGAGTCCGGCTGCGAGTCCCAGACGTGGGAGAACTCTGATTCAGCACGCAAAGCCACCATCCCTCGACGCAGCAGTCTGATCAAGGTAGGTCATCACTTGAATCAGTGAAAACAGACCATTTTAAAGAAGGGGGGGTGGGGTGAGAAAACTAGCTGTTCATGCAGGAGTTCTATTCCCTAGCATGCCCTGCAGCAAGATTCTGCTCGTGACCTCAAGAAATGCACACTGAAATCTGTCTAAATGAGTCCTGTAACTCACACAGTGCACCTGAGCATTAACTGTTTCTGCTGATCCCCTGGGACCTGCTGTCAGCTGGCCTAATCTGTGTCAGCACAATAATCAGAATAATCACCTCATCTGGCTTCCTGTGCCAGCTGCTGTCGAGGAATATTTACAAGCTCAGGCATTTTAGGAGACGTAGCAGACCAGTGCTTTACAACCATTATCTGTTTTTTTTTTCTGCCATAAAGCAAAATTTAAGATGTATGACTCTAAAGTTTGACTGTAGCCAGGGGACCCCCAGAAAGGTGTCAATGGGTGCAGACTGGTAATCTTGGAATGGCACACCAAAATCAAAAGACGCACAGAATTTCAGAGTTTACTGATGTTAGGCTGTTTGAAAACGTTGTGTTTTCATGTCGTGGCTGGTACTGAGAACAGCACAGTGACTCCTCATATCCTATCCTCTCTTAAAGATGACTGAAACGAACATTTTTGAAGGAATTCATATCACCTGCTGCCTTGGATAACAGTTGTAAACAGAAATCTCCCAATGACCTGTTAGCATTCAGAGCATTATCCTCAGCTACTACCTCACCAAATGTTAGCTCAATATCTGTAAATCTGACTAAATAACTGTCATTTTTGTGTTTGGGTTAACTCTGAAAGTTAATGAGTTGCAGATGTGCATCTAATTTCTGAGCGTTTCATTTGAAATGTGTCCACTGGATCATTATTTATTTTGCTAATGCACAGAATATTCCTACTATCTGGATTTATCAAAAGGAAAGTCTTAAAACTGGACAACGTGTCAGCCTCACGGACAGAAACTGGAAGTTGGTTCCACAAGAGAGGAGCCTGAGAACTGAAAGATCTTCCTCCCATTCTGCTTTTGGAAACTCTAGGAACCACAAGTAAACCTGCAGTCTGGGAGTGAAATACTCTTTTAGGAAAATATGGAATAATAAGATCTGTAATATAAGATGGAGCTAGGTTGTTGAGAGCTTTGTAGGTTAGTAGTAAGATTTTGAATTCAGTTCTGAATTTGACAGGGAGCCAATGGAGAGAAGCTAAAACTGGAGAGAGATGATCTCTTCTTTTCACTCTAATCTGAACTCTAGCAGCAATATTTTGGATCAACTGAAGACTGTTTTGAGTTTTTTGGACACAATAAAGATTTTCAATAGTCCAGTCTAAAAGTGATAAATGCATGGACCAGTTTTTCTGCATCATTTTGGGAAAATATGTTTCTAATTTTAGTGATGTTGTTCAGGTGTTAGAAAGCGATCCTTGTAACTTTTTTAATGTGGAGGTTAAAAGACATCCTGATCAAAAATACCATCAAGGTTTTTTATATTAGAACTGGAGGCCAAATTAGTGACATCCAGAGGAAGTGAAAGGCTGCAAAGTTTATTGCTAACATGCTCCAAAAACCATGACCTCTGTCTTGTGTGAGCTTCAATACAAAACATCAGAAGTCATTCAGGTTTTGCTATTTTTTTAACATTACCAAATGGAAGCATATACTGTATAAGGTAAAGAGTATTTGGTCCAAGCACTGAACCCTGAGGAACGCTGTGATTAACTCTGGTGTATGAAGAAGGTTCAATATTACATGGACAAACTGGAATCTATTAAAGAAATATGATCTAAACCATTTTAGAGCCTTTCCTGTGATCCTAATGTCACGTTCAAGGATCTGTAATACAATATTGAGAGCAACCGTATCGAATGCAGCACTGAGGTCTAACAGGACAAGTATGGACAAAAGTCCACCGTCTAAGGCCGTGAGAATACTTTGACTTGTGCTGTTTCTGTACTATGTTGAGCTCTAATACCTGACTGAAACTCTTCACAGTTTAATTTTGTTCAGATGATTGCACAATTGATTTGCAACTATTTTCTCAATAGTTTATTAAATAAATGGGAGATTGGATATAGGTTTAGAACTGGCCAGAACTCCTGAGATCAGGTTTCTTAAGTAAAAGTTTAATTACACCTTAAAGCCTTGGGGTACATAACCATTTGTCAAAGATAGATTAGGTAGGTCCAAAATGGGGATATTAATCACAGGAAAGAGCTCTTTAAAAAGTCTAGTTGGGCCAAGATCTAGCAGACACGTTAATGGTTTGGATGAAGCAATTATTTTTGAGAATTCAAAGAGCTTAACAGGACTAAAACCTTCCAAATACAAATCAGGTTGTAGTGACACTTCTCAAGCTGTTTCATTTATAGGGAATCAGAGGCAGTAGTAAAAAATTTAATTTTTCTCCCTAATTGTAATAATTTTATTTTTAAAGAATCATCAAGTTATAGGGCTGTAAGGCTCAGCAGAGAAACAATTCTTCATTAGTCTAGCTGCAGATTCATTTATATTAACAATACCCTCTTGTAGCCAGGTTTCTGGAAGACCAAATAAATCAATGTGACGACCAGTTATCAAATCATTAACTAACAGAAATATAGACGAGAGAGATCAATTATTCACATTTATTTTTCTGTTCTGATAAAGAAATTGTTTATTTTTATAAGATATGAATGGTTTACTTTTCTTGAGAGGGGACTTGGAAATAGCATCCATCCGTCTGTAATGTGAGCTAGATAACTAGAAAATTAATTGAGGTGCCGACTGACATTTTGGTGTGTGGCTGCGTTTAAGTGTAAAAAAGGCCACTATCAAAAACTGGGTTGCCACGTCAAAATTCAAGATGGCCACTGCCTGTGGTAGGCACAGCTAACCAAAAAGTTAGCTTCGCTAACCACTAATTCACTAATTAAAAAATTAATTTAGCTAAACCACTAAATTGATTTTTTTTTAAGCTAAAGTGCTAAATTTTATCATACACTGTTGTCTCTGACACTCTAAGACTGTAATGTGACAAACTTGTAAGTGAACACAACTCAAAACGGTTCATAAATCACAGGTACAGCATCCATGTCCTGTTCAGAGGTGAACTTTCAGAAATGAATCTGGTCCATTGGAACCAGAGGTGGAGCAGAACTCTGCAGTGCTGAAACAGAGCGATTCATTCAATGTGTGTCAGACGTCTCCCTCGTGTCATTTACTATAATGAATTAACTCATTTTAGTGATCCTCTTTGTGGTTAACTACATTCATAAACTAAAGTTGCTGTGCGTCATCATCCATATTCTCTCAGTATCTGTTTGTATGAAAGTAAAGATGTGTGAAATGTGTCATGTTCCAGAGACAGTGTGAGCATTGAAAAGCATGATGGGTAGGAATAATGTGTGCAAAGTTTCTGACTGTTTACAGTGTTTATGAATGTGAAAATGGGTTTCTCATGTTATTTACCTGTTCTGGTTTGGTTTGGCATTTATGTTAGTCTCTGTTATTGGTTGTAAACTGACACCATGAGTCAGAGACTGCTTGTGGTGTGTGTGTGTGTGTTTTGGGGGTGGGGGAGGTACCGCAAATGTGCAGTGACGTCACCAGGTGTTTCTTATCTTTGCTTAGTTCTGCATAGCATATAACAGTATAGCATCGCTCCATGTATATCACCGTTCTCCTGTATACTTTTAGTGTGGAGAACTGTCTAAAAAAATTGTGGACTTGGATTTACCAGAATTAAATTTAGCAGAAGCTAATTCTGCCAAAGGTTTTCAAAGTTAGCAAAAATGCTAATAAACTAAACGTAAAGTTAGTTTCGCTATTAGCAGAAAAAAGCGGAGCCATGCCCACCACTGCCACCGCCATAAATATGTAAACCAGCCACTGTGATCATTTGAGGAAATTATGCTGCCCCCTTTGGCCAACTCCTGGCAGGGGGCGGTAGGTGTGTTTGCTCCATCTGAAATCCTCAACCATCTCCTTCGTCTTCTTCACATTGATGTGAAGGTTGTTCTTGCTGCACCAGGTCTCCAGGTGTTCCACCTCCTGCCTGTAGCTGGACTCTTCATTGTTTGTGATGCGTCCAACCACCACTGCATTGTCTGCAAACTTTACAAGATGACAGCCTGGATGGGTAGGTGCACAGTCATATGGGAGCAGAGTGAACAGAAGGGGGCTCAACACACAGCCCTGAGGGGAGCCATTGCTGAGGGTTATGGTGGAGGAGAAGTTGTGGATCCTCACAGACTGCGATCTGTTGGTTAAGAAGCAACAGAAAGGTGTGTAAGACCACAACTGTGCTTCCTGAACAGGACCCTGGGTTGTTTTTGCCAACCTGCAGACAGTGTGACTTGTCAGTCAGCTGGAGAAGAAGAGGAAGAACTAGCAATTGTGAAACCACATACAATTCTCCCAAAAGCTCACAGTTAAATATGTCCTCTTAATACCACTGCCACAATGGGAGCAGATGTCATGCTTATTTAGTTAAATATGTCGTAATTCTTCACGACAAACCTGGATATTTAAGTAAAATAACATTTTATGTGGCACTAAATGAACAGCTTCAATACATTGTCCCCTTGACTTTGTCTTTTTATGGTTTCTGAACCCCCCCCCCCCCCCCCCCCACTGCTTAGTCTCCCCAGAGCTGCTGCCTGTAAAGACACAATTATTTAAACATGCCATCATCCTTGTGCGATTGGCCCTGACTCAGCGAGACAGGAAGCAGGCCTGTTGGCCAATTTCATCGTACAGTTTGTGTCGCAATATTGCTATTAAGCCATGAGCAGTTGGTGGTGACAAATCACTTCCACTGCTCTCTCTCTCTCTCTCTCTCTCTCTCTCTCTCGCTCACACACACACATACAAATGTTTCTCACATCTTTGCCCACACACAGGCCTACTCTTGCATGTTCCACTGGTCCAGACAGCTTAACAAGAACTGAAAACTCTCAATGTGACTGAAGTTCTCCACTTTTAATCTGAGTTAGGAACTGTGGGATTATGCGGCGTCATG